TGTCACAGTTGCGACCAGCCTCCAGCCACTCATTCTTTTCGATTCCATTGGCGAAAAGCCGAGAGGTAGAAAGCCGGTTGCTCGTCGCGAAAACACACAGCAAGTCGGAGGCATTTCTTTCCCGGCTCAAAGGCAAAAGTGAGGCTCCCGACTTCCTCTGGGGCTTGATCATCTCTACCCCCCTGACCATCTTTACCAGCATCCGCTACCGCGTCTTCCTCAGCCAACAATCCCGACTGGAAGGCGTAATCGACAACCGCACGCTCACCTATGAAGACGTGAGCTCTCTGCGGACTTGTGTATGTCCACTCTGTCTGCAGTCCTCTCGGCCGCTTGGACGTCCACCCCACCGCCTTGAGCTGTCGCCATAAGAGCCCAAAGTCAACGTCGTGTGCGGCGACAGCTAGGGCGGCAGGTTTCTCGCGGCGACTGGAGCGCTTCCGTGTCATCCAGCAAAATCTCGAATGAGCGGTCAAGGATTCACCTTCCACCTGATCCCCATCCCCTGACCTGGTTTTGTTTTCGTTCCTGAAAAACCTCTTGCAGCTTATATGTTGCATCATACTTGATTAAAGTATTGAAAAATCATTTCCGAGCCATTTGCTAATAAACTTTGCGCTATGTCGTAAGTTACGACACAAAAAAAATGGATGTCGTTAGTTACGACGTCCGGAACCAAGGTGTTAACTATACGAGCAGCAAGACGAATTCGAGTTTGGGTCGGCAGAACGTCCAGATTGTGCGAACGTTCATCTGTCAGTATAAACACTACGACGAGTTCGCACCCCAGGGGGAGAACACGCTGTTTCAAGCACTCATTAAGGCGCTCAAGAACGCAAAGAACTTTATCTACATTGAAGATCAGTATTTCATCCTCGTACCAGAGCTACTCGATGCGGTTTTAAAAGTGATGCCGACACTCCAGCGACTCATTGTGGTTGTGCAGCGACCAGGTTGGATGTGAAGTCGGGTGGATACGAGAAGTATTTGTTCGACATGATCGCTCCTATACAGAAGCTGTATCCAAACAAGTTTCAGATCTACACCACGAAGAGTAGCTTGAATCTCTACATCCACACAAAAGTTGTGATCATCGACGACGTTTTTGTGACAGTCAGCTCAGCAAACTGGAATCGTCGTAGCATGACCTCGGACTCGGAGATGGCTGCCAACATCATCGACGAGGACTCTGTAGATTCTCCAGATGGGGTCACGGTGCTGAGGACGGCACGCGACTTTCGGATCCGCAAATTTCACGAGATGACGGGTCTAAGCTACGATGAACTAGACGCAATGACGATAATTGAAGCCGCGAATCAACTTGATACGGCCGCTGCAGACAAATCGTCCATCATTGAAGCGTTTCTACAGTAGTAGAGGAGCAAGCTTATTTCGCTACTTTTACAGATGCATTTCGGCAGCAAGTAGACCCACAGGACACATGCACGTAGCGTAATCACGATTTCAATGAAATACACCACCAGGTCAAGCAATATTTCCCCGTATAATAAGATCTGTGGAGGTCCAAGAAATCTTTTGGAATGAAAAGCATGGCTGAAATCCAAGAGATGTGGCGCACACCAAAATAGCCTCAAATACTGTATGATGATTGGTCAGTATTGAATCCATGAGAACCGTATCATAGTAAGACTTCTATAGGATATAACATACTCAAATAGAAGGCCGCTTGAACCACCATGATGATTGGTCAATTAGGCTTCTTGGATTGTATCCAACTCAGACAACCACCAACAGGGCTACATAATTCGAATCACTTTTAATTAACAAAAATACTCGAGAAAATGTCAGAATCCGTAGCAACAAACATGAGCGCTGAAATGTTTGCCCCGAATTGTGCCTAGAATACAAAAACTCATACTTTTGGTAAGGGGGAGGCAGACGAGACTGGGTCATTTTTCAAAAACCCGCCGTTGACAACCCTGGCGGAGCTCACAAATTAACAATGACCATTCTCCATCAATGTGTCTGGCGGTACAGGCATCACAAAGGCAAATTTCTGTCATAGTCATTTGGAAAACGTCGGTCTGGGTGGTAGTGTGACATAAGAACTAATGCCAAATTGGCGAACGCAAAAACTAATTGTGTTCGCACTGATGGCACCATAGCACTAAGCTGCTATGGGAAAAATCTGAGTGGACATCCCCTCAGATAAGATAGAATTCCTTGTTAATCACTTCAGCCTACAATTGACGGTTTCAATTTGCTTCCTTTTCGCCCAAACGTCTCCTAATTGCTTCCTTTGCTACTGATATTTTTAATAGTGTCAGGGATGCTGATGATGAAAAATGAGAATGCGTTAGCGATATTTTTCTGTGAAAGGTTAACATGGATGTAAGCACGAGACGATGCCTTGTGTCTGCCAGTGAGCGATCTGCGGCTATGTTTATGCTATCAAGTCACGAACAGTGGAGGGTGATTATTAAGTCATGCCCCTGTATTTGCCTCTGTTTATTGTCATGCAAAATACAACAGAAAAAACGGTATTCTAATTCGCACACAATCTAATGATTCGGAAAAAATAACGCTCCGTTAGGTCAATGAACAGTGGTTATGCTACGTGCAGGTGTCCTGTGGGTCTACTTGCTCCCGAAGTACATCAGTAAAGGCAGCAAAATACGCCTGCTCCTCCACTTGAAACGCTTCAATAATGGTCGATTCGTCAACAGCGGCCATATCAAGTTGATTCGCGGCTTCAATTATCGTCATTGCGTCTAGTTCATCGTAGCTTAGACCCGTCATCTCGTAAAATTTGCGGATCCGAAAGTCGCGTGCCGTCCTCAGCACCGTGACCCCATCTGGAGAATCTACAGAGTCCTCGTCGATGATGTTGGCAGCCATCTCCGAGTCCGAGGTCATGCTACGACGATTCCAGTTTGCTGAGCTGACTGTCACAAAAACGTCGTCGATGATCACAACTTTTGTGTGGATGTAGAGATTCAAGCTACTCTTCGTGGTGTAGATCTGAAACTTGTTTGGATACAGCTTCTGTATAGGAGCGATCATGTCGAACAAATACTTCTCGTATCCACCCGACTTCACATCCAAGCCTGGTCGCTGCACAACCACAATGAGTCGCTGGAGTGTCGGCATCACTTTTAAAACCGCATCGAGTAGCTCTGGTACGAGGATGAAATACTGATCTTCAATGTAGATAAAGTTCTTTGCGTTCTTGAGCGCCTTTAGGAGTGCTTGAAACAGCGTGTTCTCCCCCTGGGGTGCGAACTCGTCGTAGTGTTTATACTGACAGCTGAAAGTTCGCACAATCTGGATACTTTGTCGACCCAGACTCGAGCTCGTCCTGCTGCTCGTATAGTTAAGGGGCGCTAATTTGCTGTATGAAGGGTTCTTGAAGCCACGCAATTTAGTATCGAGACTTTGTGCAGGCTTATAGTTGGAGTTCCAGCGACCAATAAAGTTTGCTGCCACATCCTTTGCAGCAGGACCGTGAATTCTAACATGACCGTCAAGCCAGCCGTCGTATTTCACTTTGACACCAGTACTTTTGCGAAGAGGGGACTCGTTGTGGTAGACAGTATCCCAGCGATCCGATGTGATATCATTTCCGCCAACAAAAGCCACCGGGTGTTCATCTATTCCTGTGGAGTTGCGAGACGCAATAACCAAGGTTTTTTGGTGGTGGGAAGACAACACTGTCCTTGCTCGGTCATCAAAAAGGAAAACCGGTTTATCTCCCGAAACCGGGGATGCTGGAATAGCATTAATAGCGTCGCGAGCCTTGGCGTTCTGCCGTTGTTCTAGCAAATTCGCCCATATTAAAGCGTGGAAGCTGCTTCCTCGCTGAATCACGCCCTCAACCACACTGTTAAATCGAGATTTCTTACCACGATCAACCTTGGGCTGGAACGGAATGAGGTCTGTACTCCAGCCCGCCAGCATCACTCGATCTCCTGCCGTGGTGGAAGTGAGGTCTTTAAAGGTAGCATCGAAAAACTCCTCGGTCGTTATGTACGTGTCCACAACGTTCCCCGTCGTGTAAGTGGCCAAATCGGTTCGAGGCGAGCCTCCCCGCGACGCTGTAATTTCCTCTTCGGTTAGGAACCAGTCTGTAGGTTTGAGCAAAGGTTGGACTGTCATTAAGTCCGATCCATCCGATAAATCGAGTCCTTCCTGCTGCTTGTAGTCACAAGAGTTTGAATATTCCGCGAGCTCGCACACGTGACATGGCTCACAGATACACAGCCCTAATAACGACGAGAAGATGTTACCAGCTTTGGTACACACAACACCAATGCGAGTAGAAGTTGTCGTGGTTTTAGACGATTGGGACGGCTGCGCTGTAACGTAGGGTAGCAAGCAGAGTGTCAATAGAACAGCACGTTTTCCCGGAATGCGAACCATCATGCAAATTGCAATGTGGTCGTGGTATGATATTTCCTTAGCTAAAAGTTTTTTTGGGTGTGTTCAGTAGTCACGTACTACTGCTGATTTGGCTGATATTTTTAGTTTATCGTGCTCCACATTAGCTAATTCTTAAGGCCTCATTTTTCCAACCAGCCGAGTTCGGGCGCATTTGGCTGATTCGCGGGGTACGCTTGCATTTTTGCCCGTATTTCTAGTTCGTTGGAGTGTAGTAAGCAGTAGAGTCAAGGCACGTAGCGACAGCTAGAGCGCTAGAATTGGGGCCGCGTTGTGAGCTCGGAAGACGTCCAGCCAGAATGAGCGTTCTTCCGCACTGGACACTGCAGCTTCTGCGCTGGTTCAAGCCGGTTTGGGCGAGGCCTTTCCCTTCATGCGTCGACCGATGGCCGAGCGCTCGCGCATACGTAGGCTATGCAGAACAATCATGCGCCAGCTTATTTTTTCTTCGTAAAACCCGTGAACATTTATACACTTTAATTATTTGTCTGTTTAAACGCACTACATTTGACCGTTTATTCTGGCGGATATCTTGTAGAATACTTAAGTAAGCGATTTATAGATCCGGATAATTTTCCATTCAGACGAATTGATCAGACGTTATTTACTGTGGTATCTGCGGTTCAACGAAAATAATGCTCTATGTCGAACACGATGGTACTTCGAGCTAACTTGGGTCCTGAGATATCCATTTCCTTAGTGTGCGAGCCCACCACTACGCTCAGTCGGTAAGCGAACCTGGCGATCGATTGCCGTTCCACATTCGGTATCGTTACTGAGACGTAGAATACACGTTCACGGTGGATGTGGCGCCGCATCGGTCCGGAAATGCGTGCACCTGTTTGTGGCGACCGGCGCAAACCTTGTGGGTGTTGTGGGAATGGAGCCGCCTCTTCTGGTGTTGTCATGAAATACACAAGCCAACGGTGTGTACAGAAAGTGTTACAGCGCACTTCCGTAGTGCCCACGTCAACGTTGCTGTAGTGAAGATCCTCCTCCACTGGATCACCTTCCATGCACCATAACCTTTGTTCCGCCTCGTCATCCACTCTGGGTTTTCAGTACCCACTTCTCAAGGTTGCGCAGAACCTTAAGCAGCTTCAAGACGCCGACTCTCCATCTCCTTCTCCTAAGAAGACGGACATGATAGCTGTGGGAAATTCGTAGTTGGCTTCGACGTATTTGTCTTGCGACGAAAGAAGAAACCGTTGTCAGAGCTTTCATCTCGCTATCCCACAACATTTGTGCGTCGCGTGAGATGGTCACTAAACGACATCGATTGGTGTTGGAAGAGATAGCGGCGTTTTCGCGGATCAAATTGGACAAATGGCGTAGTCGATTTTTTAGTACAATCACTAAGGGAAACTCTGGGTATTATCGAATTGTGCTATCTCATTGTTGAAGTCATCCTCCAAGTCTTACTTACTAAACGTTAATTTCAATAAAATACAACTTAGTGCCCACTACCAATTGGATGTACAGAGTTGTACATCCTTTTAAGTGTATCCAACAACGCTAACTTAGATATTTAAATAGCGTTTCTTAACTTGCGCAATTCCTCTTTTATTACTGAATCGTGCAGGGGGGGTACAAAAAAAGTGATATTTGATTGAAGGGGTTCCCCAATTATGATCCAAGATAAAAAAAATTACGGTAAAATACAAAAACTCACTTTCAGGACTAATGATCACTTTGTACTGTGCTATTGTTGGTGAGGCTGGGAGCACGTTCCCTGTGGACATTGACGACGACAAGTCGGTGGGCCACTTGAAGAAGGCGATCAAGGGGGAGAAACTTGGAACGATCAAATGTAAAGCCGACCTGCTGCAGCTCTGCTTGGTCAAAAAGGTGAAGAACGCCGTGGCAGAAAAAGAGAAGCGCAACGACCTGTAAGAATGGCTGACACAACTCGAAGCGCTAAATGGTGTGAGTGAAGTAGCTGGCTATGAGGCTTTAGTGTACGCTGACACAAGGCTACGAGCCCTTGGGCTGGCTACTGGTCAACTGGGCGAGGTGTCTGATGAAGACAGCGCTGCTGGAAAGGGCCCTGTGCACGTGCTGGTGAAGGTCCCTTTACGGATGTCGTATCAAAGCATTCAGCAAGTGATGAAATTGTTAAGTTTTAGAAGATAATGAAGGTGATTTCTAATATGCTGACCGAGCTCGAACCCTTGGCCGTGCATGAGAACGAGTTTCAACTCGGCAATTTTTGTGTCAAGCAAGGAAGTGATCAACCGATTGTTAAGACAACTGACTTGCACGAGTTTTGGCAGGGATTCGTCGAATTTCCCCTGCACTATTTCGTTCGGATGGAAGAAATGGTGTTCTGGAAGGTGATCTAGGGACTGCTGTTCAGCAAGGATCGTGTTGTGATTGTAGGCTCACCGGGTGTCGAAAAGTCCTGCTTTCTTGTGCTGATTGTGCTCTACGTGGCGTGCAGCGAGGAGAAGAAAGTGCTGGTCATACGTCGCTTAGAAGAAAGGAATAAGAAGAACGCGGTGGTGTTTTTTACGGGCAAGGATCATATGTGCGACTGGTGAATCTCTCACCTTATGATATCTCAGCCGTACGTGACTAAGCGGTGGGTGCAATTGCTCTGCTTGAGCAAGTGGATGAGCGATGCGAAGAGCGAATACGTTCCCTTCCCTTTTCTTGCAACACCGTGCCAATAATATTGGCACCTGATCATCATTATCGACACTTTCGTCCGCCACGTCGTCGCTAGGAACAGGGCCAGGGGACGTATAATATCGGCACATCATATTATCATGCGAAATATGACGAAAGCTGTAACGGGGTTACATGATGTGGAACACACAGGGGTACGGAGTACCCGGAGAGTTAACAAACTCTCCGTACATAAGTTGGAGAGTTAACATACTCTCAGTACATAAGCTGGAGAGCTAACAAGGTCTCTCAGTACGTTGGCTGAAAGCCACACGATATGCATTTGATTAGGTTTAACTATGCTAGATAGTTAAACAGATACATTTACCCCTAGGCGGCTTGGCCGCAATAATAGTAAATAAAACACTTCTGGTTTTGAAGCATAAAAGTTAAGGTATTAACTTTGAGCCCTGGTCTGGGGCTGTAAGTTCCTTTGGGTAAGGAACTTAGTATTAGTGACTCTTTGAGTCGAACGTCTTCCTCTGACGCTAAAGCTACGGCAGCCCCGCTGCACTTGGTAGCACTTGTAGTCAATCCCGCTCCTGAGTCGGTTGACTATATCCTCTGCGAGGATGGAACACCCCGTGTTCGCGAATTTGCCCCCGGCGCAGCAGGACGCACTTACTAAGCTTATGTCCTTGCTTGGCCGGAGGGGTGTCTCATCTTGCATCGCAAGGTGCAGAGGCGGTCACCGCCAGGCTGGAATCGTTCTCCCGCTACGAGAACGCGCTCTTGGAGCACGTCCAAGAGAAGATGAGTGCCGCAACGGCGGCGGCGTCGATGACGCGTGAAGAGTCTATGAGACTGAAACCGCTCATGGTGAGCGTAAAACCCTTCGAGGGGAAGGATGAAAAGAATCTCCTTCTCTGGACCCGTGAGGTCGAGATGGCCATGGGATTGGCCCTGCTCCAGTCTGAGCATCAGCGCGTGGCGCTGGCTATCTCCAGGCTTGGAGGTCGCGCTCGCAAATGGGCACTAACGTGCGGCACGTCTGTTGACGCTGCATTTCCCACTTGGGATCAGCTGAAGCAACAGCTTTCGCGCGTGTTCGCGCCGCCTAATCAGGCGCACGTATCCGTTCGAAGTTCCTTGCTACCCGCCAGGGTGAGAAGGAGTTATTGGACTATGTCCAAGAGTTGAGAACTCTTATCGCCTGAATAGCGGCGGACCCTCCCCCGGAACTGGTCAGCGTGACCGTGTTCATGGAGGGACTTCGTGTGAGCGCAGCTCGAACGGAAGTGTTCCGTGTACACCCTAACTCTTTCGAAGAGGCGGTGAATGTGGCATTAAATGCCGAGCACAACTTCAGGTCGGCTCGACCTGGTTGGAGCGCTAGTAGCGCAAGCTCTTCGAGCAGTCCAGAGCCGATGGACCTCAGCTATGCTGAAGATGAAGAAGCAGAGCTTCTAGCTGCGGAGCAGCGTGCCGGCATCCGCCGATACTTTATGTGCAATAGCACTAAGCACTTGAGGGCATATTGCCCTCTGCGCAAGAAGCGCGTGGCTCCGGCGAGCCAACCCTCCGGGTCATCGCCGGGAAACGGCAA